TATGCAATAAAAGTGCAAGTAGCTTGTGATTTTCGTCATCGAATAGTTACATGTTTCTGAATGTTACCATGGAAGTATACATGATATTACAGTTCTTCGGGAATCAGGGCTGTTAGAACATGTTGAAGAATCCGTATAAATTATTGGTGACAAGGCGTATATTGGTGACGAATATGTAGTCACTCCAAGAAAGAAACTTCGTGGACGTGAATTAACACAAGAAGATAAAGATTTCAATCGTGATATTAATAGTGCGAGAGCAGCGATTGAAAATATTAATCAACGTCTCAAAGCTTATGCTATTCTTGGTGGTGTTTACAGAGGACGTGTCGATGATTTTCATAAAATAACTAAAATCATACAAGTAGTTGCTGCTTTATGCAATTTGAACTTAAATAAACATCCTATTCGTAGATAAATAAAATGATAAGTGGTATCTTCTTATTAATCGCTTATGAAGCTATATACTCATCTTTGGTTTTTTTTCAAACTTCTTCGTAGGAATGGTATAGGTTAACATAGCCAATATGAAGCACGTTTCGTGCAATAAACACAAAGATGTACATAATAATTCTCATTTCTAGTGATAGATAGATTTCAAATAGTGATAGATCAATAGCATTATACATGTACTATAATTGGTAAAAAAATCAGATTTTTCTAATGCGTAGATGAGTAAATCGACAGTGGGGTACCAGTCAAGTTGATAACCCCCTATATATTTGTTTTTATATATATCTGACATCATAATAAAAAATAAAAGCAAGTCACTAATGACTAATGTAATTACGAAATGGTTTCTCTTGTCTATGTCGCCCACTAAATTACAATGAAATCAGACAAAATACAATCTTTTTCTTTCTTTTTCTTTTATCTTACCTTCTTAAACCTATGACGAAGACTATATAAATAAAGTGCACTGCAGCATTATCTAATATACAACGAATAATCCTAATAAGATGGCTAAATTTGTTATTCTCATTGCTCTTGTAAGTTATTTTGATACTTTCTGATAGTAAAATCTTGATTATTTGTTGAGTTTAGATATATTTGGGATTAGTCTCAGCTCGTGGTTCCGGAGGCCATGGGAGACCTGCAAGCCATGCTGGGCATATAATCCATGGGGCACCTGTAGACCATAGTGGACATGTAAACTATGGGGAACATGTTGATCATCTTCCTAGTGGCTATGAGCAAGGTGGACAGGCAGGTGGTAATAGAGTTCATGGCTACACGTTAGTGCCTGACACTAGTACAATTCGTAGCGATGATTTCGCCGAGATCAGTTCGTCGTGCGATCAATTCGTTGTGATCAAATCATCGTCGAATAGTTTGTTTCGTTCTGTTTGTTGCGAAACATTTTCTTTCACGCTGTTCATCACGAACAGTATTGTTGTGATGACTTTGTTGATATAGCTTTTAATTAATTTTTTTGGATGACTAATGCGATTTAAAAAACATAAAAATGAAAAAATGCAAAGAGAATATACTGAA